ACTTTTCAAAGCAGACTCCATCACTCTTTTGATTGTCAAAGCAAAAACACTTTAGATGGTGCTAAGAGCTTCACTGCATTAGTGCAAACATGTGGCGCAGATGAGTGGTGACACTGGGTCACACTGCCTTAGGGACACCCTGACTCATCACAGCTGTCAATATTTACTGAAAAAAAAACACAGAGTACACCCAAAACAAAGAAGCAAATGAGCGTAGGAGCCTACTGAAAATCTATAGATGTTGATTTAATATGAACTTTGAAGTTCATTTAAAAGGCTAAACTCAAAACCATGAATTAGCAACTAAACAAGACTGACATGAATCATTCAAGCATGCTTGATTTTGCACTTTGAAAAAGTGGTTGTTTTCTTTAATGTTTCGCCATACAAAATCAGTCATGTGACTAACGTTACCTTCAAGTTGGAAACATAAAGTGCAGCCTAAAACAACACAAAATGGTAACACTTTAAATTAGGGAACACATAATCACTATTAAGTATTAAGTGTTTTCCCTCAATAAACTCCTAATTTGTTGTACAAATAACAGCCAATATGCTAATAATGTGCGTGCTAATAAGCAACTAGTTAATAGTGAATAGAGTTCCCTAATCTACAGTGTTACCTACAAAATAATTATATTGTGAACAATAAACCCAACTAACCACATCTGAATTCAAAATAATGAAAATTATTAATTCATCACTTATTTATACATGGTATTTAACAAAAATGTTTAGTTTTTAAAATGAAAACCTTGAAAGTTGAGGGATACCTATAGGCTGGTCCATACATCACACATTTTAAATGACTGAAATACAACATGTAAAATGCAAATAATGTGACAAATTATTCATTTCCATTCACTGCAGACTTGTTTTCTCCTCAATGATCTCTATATAGATTATGGATATACTATAGTATCTACATTAAATATCACTGACATGCCCCTCACAACGTCACAGCTCTGCAACACGTGTATCATCTTGAATTTTCAGTGTTCCACTTTAAATACAACTTTGCACAGAACCTTCATATGCTCAGAACTCATAACTACCATATTTCGGACCTCAACTGAACAGCACAGGAAATATCTTCGCAGACTTTGAACAAGAATATTTGTTTTGTTTAGTAATATTGCAATCAGATACATGTAGTCTTCTTCATGAGGTGTGCTGTTAATCAATTAGGGCTGCTCAGCCTTGATGAGCAAATTACCATCCCTAATGCAATAAAAGGTTTTGAACACATAGATGGCATAGCATTCTTCATAATGTTACATCCAAAATGAGGCATAATGGCTGGTTTGCCCCCATCTGGCTTTTTTAAATGAGGTGCACTGCAGCATCATGAACATTTGCCAGAAATTGACTGAATTAATATTGTCTCCCCATTACAATTGAAAATAGTTCAATCTGAAAGCCCCTGATAATATGCAGCTGTGCTTGGCATTAGTGTAAAAGAGCTCCGTTTGTCAGTTTCCTAGCAACCAAAAGCACTATATTTTCACTGCATGTTGTTCCTCTTTCCCCGTGATGTATTCACATGATATTTATAGTGTTGGCTGAACTACATACGGTATCTGCAAACCAAGCATTGTTGTCAGACCCTTCTAAGAAGTCTTTCACTGCAAACTGCTTTCTATCACTACATGCAAACTTCTTGTTTTCGTCAAATATAAGACAAAATATACATGATGGCGTAAACCCGCAAGTCGGAGTTTGTTAAAAAAAACAACAGTTTTGGGGACTGTTCTTTTTGGTTAAAAACTACCTAACAGATTTCAGCATGACCCTCTGTCTATATTATTCAATAAGCAGTTCATTTAAATTCTGAGGCTCCTGAATAAAGCCTGTGTCTATTTTGTTAGAGGTTTGCTGATGAGCCTTTATTTATCACACAATACCTCCATAATGACTGAGGTCATATATAAAACTCAGTGAATGTGTTACGAATAAATTATGGCAAACTATGAACTATTGTTAGGATATGCATAATTGCACATTTCTTAAAATGTAAAGTATTATGATATCTAAATCGATTAAATGGAAGCCTGATGGATCCCATGCAGTCGCATTCATCATGATGGCTGGGACGGAGGCAAGGGTCAGTCAAACCGTCTCAAGCAAGTCTTATCATCTTCATAACATGGCTGTCCTCTACATCTCTTTCCAGCCTCAGGGCAGCATTGTTGTACTTGACCAAATGCTTCCGTTTAGCACCTCATGATGGTTTGCACCCGTTTTAACCCGCTGGCTATTTCTGCTCCATCTGCCTCCTACTGCCAACCGCCAACAGATCAGCTGACTGTTCAGCAGCACTGGGATGGAAATACGTGCAGGTGCGTGTCTCTGAATGTCAGTCGCAACTCTGACTATGACAGCAGCACATTTCAAAACATCAAATGTTTGTTTGGGTCTAGTATTTTAGTTTGACACGCTCATGGAAAAAAAGACACAAAACTGTCTCCCTGAAGCCAGTGACTAGTGATCACATTTATAGCACTGGCCTGATTATTTACTCAGCTCTAGCTTAGGGGGAGGACATTGCGATGAGGATAAATATTTACTTCTCCAGCAGGTGCTCGAGCCAAACTGACCTAAATCTGCTCCGCGAAGAGGCATTGCCTTACAATGAAATCACAACAAGCCCCCTTCACTGCCTCTTTGACTAAATCATCCTCAGCAATGTCAAGAGCTACACATTGAATATGCAGAAGTATGACAACATCGTGCAAATGACCATCCATATAAACTGGATAAGTATCTGGAGGTTGAAGCTTTGCTGACTTTGTGGAAAGCTGAATATATTAAAAATGCCTACAATGGTAGAAATATTGAGAATAATGTTTAACTATCAGGGAGTAAAAAAATAAAAAATAAATAAATAAATGCTAATTTGGTAGCATAGTATTTTCAAAATAACATCTCCAGTAAAAGCTATATTCATATGCAATGATTCAAAAGCTTATTGGATAAGTAAATATTTTATTTGTCAAATGTGCAACAACACAGCAAACAGCGGTACATGTTGACAAAATATTTCTGCAAGTGGCCTAGTGGTTCAACACAATATAATGCTACATTGTTGTGTCACGTTGTATTGCGCACATTGCCATTCAACAAAGCGAGCTGAGGCAATTGTCAAACACACTCTCTTAAAATGACTTCTTTAAAAAGTCTCTCTCAAAAACAGCTTTAATCATTTTAGCGGATCAATTCTGACGGTTCCTTTAAAAGGAACTGTTTAACAAAATAATCACTCAGTTGTGTTCCTGGAACTCCCTGCACAGAGACATTTTGAGGTATATTGTTTACTCCTGAATGTGCTTAAGCACTAAACCAGCCTAAAAAATATTTTTTGTCATGATTAGAGCTTAAGAAGAGTACTTTATGAACTCTGAAAGGTGCTGTAAGCGATCTATTGAATTAGGTCTCTGCTTTCCCTTGACTCTTTTTGAAGTTTATAAAGCTTAAGATATTATTTTTTAATGTTCCATATAAAAACCTGCAGAATTATACACTACTGTTCAAAAGTTTGGGAACAGTAAAAATTGTTTTTAATGTTTTTGATAGAAGTCTCTTATGCTCACAAAAGACTGCATTTATCTGATCCAAAATACAGTAAACACTGGGAAATATTACTATTATTTAAAATAACTGTATTCTGTGTTAATACATTTTTAAAATGTAATTTATTCCTGTGAAAGCAAAGCTGGATTTTCAGCAGTCATTACTCAAGTCTTCAGTGTCACGTGATCCTTCAGAAATCATTCTAGTATGCTGATTTGGTGGTCAAGAAATGAAAACAGTTTTTGTTCGCCCTTTTTGTTAGAAACACATTGTTGCTAGCTACATTTTTTTAAAGTATAGCTTGATCTACTTTAAATGATCAGTACCTTGTAGTTTTATAAGCTACAGTTTCATAGTAGCTTCCTCTACAAGCTGTTATGCTGGAGCGGCATTGTGGCATACGTTAGGTCTGTAAAGCCTTCCTGCCCATGCGTTAGGGACGCAAAGGGTGCCAGGGGGTTAATTAAAACCACTAATCCACTGAGGAGGAAAAGGTAAGAGGCTCTTGGCATCATGGCTGACTTGTGCAAATGACGCTCCGCCTGCCATGTTCAAAGGCAAATTACATCCCTCTTGAAACTATGCAGGTGTCAAGCAACATTCCCGAGGCCCCTGCTGTCGCTTCAATTATCACAACCTAAGGTGCAGAGTAGTGCCCTCCCATTCTTGTCCCATCTGGATTGCCCAAGAGTAAGGCATTGTACTGATGAACTCTGCCAGCAGAAGGAGAAAGACAGGAGTACGTCAGAGAGACAGAAGAGGATTCATCGGAAAACACACAGATATGTGGGCACAAATGTGGGGAAAAAAACGTCCCTCCAAATGATCAGTCAACAGCTGTGGTTTACTGGCAACATTTAACTGTAACGCATAGTGTGTATGTTTTCATTAGAACACAACCCAGAGACTATTTGACAACACTATTGCTGACAGTTATAGTAGCATTTCAATAACTCATGTCATGGTAGAGCTATCGGCCTCAATACAGCGGCATCAATGTTTTTATTAAATAACCACAGACATATCTTAAAAATCTCCTCTTGGTTTTTAAAGCAAATACTTGCAAACAAGAATACTGTAGCAAAATAAATAAATAAATAAAATAAAATAAAAATGTTTTAACTAAACCACAGGAATATTGCAAATATTTTAAAACCTCCACTTGAGTTTATAATTAAAGCAAAATCATACAAATTTTGTTGTGAAATAAAATTAAAAATTAAATTAAATGAATAAATAAAATAAAACATAAAATGAAATATTTTCAATAAATAACCATTTAACCATTTCATTCAAAAATGTTAAATCTTAAAATCTCATTTTCGTTTTTAAAGCAAAATCATGCAAACTAGAATGCTGTGGTAAAATAAAATAATTAAATTAAAATTATATAATAATTTTAATATAAATATCGAGATACTGGATGGGATTTGAATATCAAAAGACATGAGGAGTTCATTATGAGAGACGCCATCTCAAGGTCAGGGGTCAAGGATGTATTTGTACACAACTCATCTGGTTTTTCCTCATGCTTAGAGATTTGTACTGCCATTCTAACTTCAAATGAAGTAACACACGCAGATATGTGTTGAGGAGAGTCTCTCGTGGGTTTGTGCTGGATAAACATAAATATTGTGTTGTGGAGTGGAGGGGCATGACCTTAGGGTTAAGCAGAAACCTTGTGAAGGGATGGCAGTAGGTCAAGATATACTTCACGAGTCTCCTTAAAATGAGAATGTCAAATGAGTGATACAGTCTCATTCAAAAAGAAGAGAAAGCAGAGTAGAGTGAAGCACAGAGAGGGAGAGATTTGCAGCTATTCATTTATCTGACATGGTTCGTGATCTTATAAGAGATCTTTGCACCTTCTGTTTTTGCCCCCCGGGCAGCGATTGAAGTGCGGAGGGGGAATTGCTGTATGTGTCTGAATCAATACTCTTTGACATATCACGATTCAACATCAAGAGTCAATCTCTGGTTGGATGGGTTGAAGTACAGACTCAATATGAGGAATCCACAGCAAGATAGCAATATTGTTCCTATTATTTAGGGAATAATCAATACATGATATGCACTTGATTTCTCTGATTCTTTACATTACACAATAGCTGTTGAGGGTATTGATCAAAATGCAAGTGAAATTATATATATATAAAAAAAGTGTATACTGTATGTCTGGGGAAAAAACCTGGAAGAAACAGAGCTGATCAAAGCTCTGCCAGACCACTGGATGCCCTTCATTTGTCCCACTGTAGTTGACCAGCTAAAAGGATAGATGCTTTGAAAGGGGAACAAACAGGATCTCTATCTCTAACAACACAGAGATGACACAATAAGATGGGAGAACATGGCTTTTTCGTAATTAATTTGTTTGACAAAGTCTAATAACCACTAATATGTGCTCTGCGCTTTACTCTCAATAACAAAATAAACAACAACATGACAGCAGTGAGAAAACAGCAGTTAAGAAAGTATCTGAACATAGTCATGTGGATACGTTTGCATGAGCTCTGCAGTTCGGCACTCCAGTCAAGTAAAGTCACGTCATGTTTATTTATATAGCATTTTATACAATAAATTGTTTTAAACCAAACAGCTTTACAGTATTAAACATGAAAAAACAGTGTCAGTGATGTTTCCGATTAGAATTACACTTCAATTTCTGACCTTGATGGACTCAACAGAGGAAATGAACCAGAGAAGATTTCCATGTCAAAGAGGACAGAGTCCCAGAGCATACCTACTTATTAAGTTATCGCCACGGACCAAAGGTTGTTCAAAGGTGTTTACCAGCCGGAGCGAATTTTTCCGGAAAGTTTGCTTTGGCAAGCTGTTTCTAAGGCCTGAAACAAACTCAAAGAAATGTAATTTTGGCTTGATTTCGTTCAAAATGACATCACACCATTTCATTATTTGATTCCGCTTGAAGTGAAATCGGGGCCTTAAGAAAGACAGAGATTGATTAAGGTGTTTTTTGACAGACAGTACTTATTTTCACAAAAAGTATTTATTAAATATACACACACACACACACACACTTTCAATTCTACTATTTATCATCTCTAGTATTAGGTGGTAAAATATATACTTTTAATTTTTTCAATAGCAGCCTATCTGTGAGGGAGAAAAAAGAAAACAAACACTTGATTTTATAAAGTACCTCAGAGGAGGCACTTCATGTTCTCATTTCCATGAGAATAGGATGTCTACTTTGTCTCTTCTGTGTTATCAGAGGCTTACAAAGCCTGAAGATTAAATGTGCCTGTTTTTCAATTTTAGATAGTGCTTGATGTACACGTCTCATAGTATTAATTTAGACAATTAGAGCTACATGAAACTTTGAAAGCTCCTCAAAATAGACAAATCATTAGATCTCTCAACAACATGCACTCAAAGATGCAATCATTCTTTTTGTTTGGATTCTTTTTTTATAAGATCAAACAGTGTCAATTGCTGTTACTCATGAGCTCATGTGCAAATTTCTGGACCTAAAAGTTCAAACAAATAACTACAGCTGACAACTGAACACTTTAATTTAGAACAATTAATTAAAAAAAGAAAGAAAGAACAATATGAATTTAATCAAGACCTGCATGTACTGTAAATTCCACACAATGACCAAATCATCCATTTGATGCATGTGTATATAGATTAAAAATGGCACATTAGATGCAAGAATGTGTCCCTGCATCTACCTCTGAAACACTATAAAACTGAAAAGACATTAAAAGCACCATTTTGGTTCCTTAGACCGCCACAGTAGCAGAACCCTCTGGAGAACCTCCAGGCACCCTCTCAAACAGGACAATCCTCTGAGGAACTGCATTACTGCCAGACCTCTAAATTGTGTTAATGGTTCCTTCAGTAACCTCATTAAAGGAAAGACTCTGAGGCACTTGAAATATGTAATGAAGTTCCTCAAGTTCACAATATGTTATGTAAGTTTTTAAAATATTTTTGAAAGAAGTATCTAATCCTCACCAAGGCTGCATCAATTAGCCTAGATTAAAAAAAAAATAACTTAAAATAGCCATTTTCTATTTTAAGATATTTCAAAATGTATTTTATTCCTGTTATGGCAAAGCTCAATTTTCGGCACCCGTTACTCCAGTCTTCAGCATGATCCTTCAGAAATTTTTCTAATAAGCTGATTGATATTCTTGTGGAAACTGTGATACTGGGATTTTTAGAAAGTTCAAAAGAACAGTACTTATTTGAAATACATTTTTTTTAAAATGTTATATTGTGACTTTTGATCAACTTAATGCGTCCTTACTGAATTAAAGCAATAATAATAATTATTATAATTAAAAAAACGGACTTGCCCCACACTTATATATAGATACACACATAGCCAATCTACCTATACAAATAGGTATATTGTATTATTTGCAACGTATTAGATTAATGAATCAGTCATATCATGTAGAAAAAAGAAATAACCCAAATCTAGCTATTTTACCGGTCATATTTTGCATTACTTATAGATAGCCCACAACAGCTACATCATTTCTCCTTGCATTCAAGACACTCCTTAAATTCAGCAGAAATGTCACCACAGAGATGTCACTGAATTCAAGGGTACTGTAAAAGACAAACACTATTTTTTAGATTAATATTTCAGTATGTTATTCATATAATGAATACACTCTGGAAGTGTAGATCAAATGAGACTTGTTGATGCCACACAGTTGTGCAGACAAAAGACACTGTAATTCAAAAGTGTTTCATGTACTGCTGGGAGATCAAAGGCTTGAAGGCAATGGATTTAAAGTAACAGAGCTCCTGCCCACTCACAGAGCAGTCTGAGCTGCTGTGGAATCCATTAGCACATTACACTGTGATCTGGAGAAGACGACCAGAAAAACCCATCTCACCAACTCCCATCTTTTCTACCTTAATGCAACAATAATAAAGAATTCTGCTCAGGCCAAGCCAATTTGAAGAGAGGGAATGGAGGAGAATACGGAGAACAAGAGATCATTTTCCCTTGTAATGTGCCGACTACATGTTTTAAGGCTTATACTAGATGCTTGATAGAAGGGAGGAAAAAACTGACCTATTCTGAGATGATAGTGGAGTTTAGATGAAGGTCAGTCTCTAAATCATTTATCGGCAATTACTAAGCAATAGATATTTTCTCTCCCATGCCTCAGCATACCACAAAAGGTTGTATTTCGTATCTAATGAGAAGTAAAAAAAAAAAAAGATAACCCTAATATCCAAAAGCTCTGTTTAAGCAGGCAGTGTCTACATTCATGCAATACAGCATGCAGAGAACCAAGATGAAAGGTCGTCCCTGATTAATAATGACCCCTTTTCTGAGCTATTAGGCATTGGTGAATGATGACATCAGGGCAGGTAGGTGTTTCATCTCCCAGTAGAGACTATGCTTAACTCCTTCCCCTGTATAAATGAGTGGCCCTCCCTTTCCGTACCTGAAGATGAATGTGCCTTAGCCTACGTTCAGAATTAATAACAAGCTGCAAAGCACCGCAAAGCCCCATTGTGCATGATGAAGACTTCAAAATGACTTTTAAATGAATGCCTTATCCATCAATGACGTGAGATCTCCCTAATACAGGGCGTTTTTTTTGGTGTCTTTCTCGTTCGCTTGTTTTTCACGGTTGGTTTGTGGTCTTATTTGCTCCAAATTTGCAGCAGAGTGCTTAGCATGGCTATGAGGAAGGTTTATGCGCATGAAGCACCAAAGTAGGGTAATGAAATGGTGGAGAATGTTCCACTCCAATGGGTGCTGTATACTTGAATTCAAATATTTCATGCCTGAATGATACCTTATAATACCCAATGTTCAAATAAGCACAGTATGAGAAAAGTCAGCGAAGACTTTTTGCTATACATTTATAGATATATTTTTAAATATTTATTGTCATATTTTATTAATATGATTTTATTTTATGATATTGGTACTGTACAAAGTATTATTGTGTTGTACTGTTTTGTTATTGTATATTAATTCATAATAATAGTAACTGAACAGTCAGCTACTGTACACTGTGAAAAAAAGTGTAAGGTAACACTTCAGTATAGGGACCAATTCTCTCTATTAACTAGTGGTTTAGTAGCATGCATATTATTAACATATTGGCTGATTATTAGCACTTATAAAGCACATATTCTGCATGACCATATTTTACATCCCTAATCCTACTCAATACCTAAACTTAACAACTACTTTACTATTAATAAGCAGCAAATTAGGAGTTTATTGAGGCAAAAGTCATAGTTAATAGTTAGTTAATAGTGAGAACTTTACCTTAAAATAAAGTGTGACCAAATTTAATTCTTACAGAAAAAACTGCAAACAGTTTTTCTTAAAGATTATTTCTTTGTGGCCAAAAATTGTTTGTTGCACAAAGCACAGAAGCAGCACAGCTGCATTTTATCCCCTTCCATCGTTTGTAAGTTACTGAGGCTGGAAGCAGGAGAGTCTTTTGCAAGAGGAGCGGAGGGATTAATTAAAAATTATTTGTGGTCGAAGTCAAATTTCAAGTATCTTAGCTCTGGCAGCATATAGGACATTGGGGATGTTGTAGCCAAACTGAAGATGGTGCTGATGTACTGAATCAATGCACTGTGATGCAGAAAGGTAAAGGGGGTACGAAGGTACATCTTTTTTTATCATTAATGGGAGCTTGTTTGAAGGAGATCCTTTAAAGGGACAGTTCACCCAAAAAAAAAAATTGCTGTTAATATACTCACCCTCAGGCCATCCAAGATGTAGGTGACTTTTTTTTTTTCAGTAGAACAGTACAGAAGATTTTTAAGTGAAACCTTGGCAATTCATACAATGCACGTCTATATAGCTGCTGGTATTTGAGCGTCAAAAAAACAAATATAGACAAGACCAAATCAATACATGTGGCTCCTGACGAAACACTGAGGTCTTATGAAGCAAAACAATCGGGCGCATACTCACACGTAAGCTGCAGTTTGTTTACAACAGAGGGAGAGCGAAGACTAACATTAGCACCAAGCTACATAAAACAGTTTCTGAGATTTATATACATTTTTACTAAAAAATCACTTTAAACCACCATTGAGTGTTTGAAACATGCTATTTATAGCCTTTTTTTAAGCAGCTAATGGCTGCACCTGCTTAGCATTTCTCATGTAAAAATCTTTATTGTTATGAAAATACCCCAAATCTCATGAAAATCACACACAGATTATATACTGTTGTGATCATGTGTTTTATTAGTTTCAACTTTCATGTGTAGAAACGTTTCTCTGGGTTTGATGAGTACAGAACAGTACCCGGAAGTGTAATGGAATTTCATCAACGGAAAAGACAGGGTGGGTTATGAATGCGTAATATGAGTGACATACAAGCAGCGAACGAACTTCCTCTGAGTCATAACAGCGATCGTGGAAGAGAAAACAGTGCTGGAAGCAGCTAATGATCATTAGATTGCATAAATCATTGGAAAATGAATAGACTAGTGCGCAAACTGAGAGAGATGACCAAGAACACAGGTTAGCTGATGCTGTTTGTTTAAAATGGAGGACGCATGTGAGAACTGAGGGAGATGGAGAAAGCAGCGGCACAACCACAAGCCTCAGTGAGGTCGAGGACTCTTGAGATGCGGTAGTGTGTTCATGTTCTAAGTGTGTCATTCGATGACAACAGAGGTAGAATCGAACTGGATCAGATGTCGGAAATCTGTGAAAAGTCAATATTCCCGAATGGGATCGCGCTAATTGGTTCC